CAATAGACAGGTAGTGGTTAAATAGTGTACCTTTAAGTAACTAACGTGTAACTTATGACCTGGACGTTTGAATTAAAGCTTCAAACTTGCACATTTTTCTCAATTTTTCCGTCTAGTTTATTTGGACTCCCTCCCCTTGCTTAGATGTATATTGAAAAGCTTGTGATGATTTGTTACTTTTCTTATTGTGCACTAAGTAAACTAAAGCGATTTGTTCACATAAGGACGTGCAAAGGACAAAATGTGTTCTTAAACTGAAGGCTTCAGCAGAACTGCTCAGAGTCTTAATCCTGCCTCAGAGGATGAGAACCATGCAAAGAAGGAGCTGCATGGACATCTTTTGTGACTATATTTCTACAGTGCTACAGATTTTACGCTTCTGTGCTCACAGTCTGTTTTGCTTTCCAAGGCTCTGAACAACAAAGAAAAGTTAAAGTAAACTATCTAAAGTAGTCAGTGTAGAGTTTACTACCTGTATTGGTTTGCCTGGTAGGTTCCTGTTGTGGAAGAAGTTATCGAAGTAAAAGTATAGATACAGGAGCAAACAAATATATAATGTAGGGTGACCATATTTCCATTTGTGAAACCCCAGACACCTTACCGGGGGTGGGAGGTGGGGCCTCGACATAGAGCTACAGTCGTCCCTCGCTATATCACCGTTCACCTGTTGCGGTCTCGCCGATTCAAAGAATTTATTTTTTCTTTTGTTTTTCTTTTTTTTTTTTTTTGTGTTCATTTTTTTTACACATGGGTGGGTCAGGACTAAACCAGGTCTAAACCAGGACTAATCTTGGACTCAAGAGAGAGAACACCGAGCAGTTTGTCTGCAAAGCGCGATCGGGCAATTGCTGCGTTTATCTCCGTGAGGTGCGGAGCTCTCGATCGGTCCTTTCTCCTGCGGTCACATCCGAGCCCGTCTGGACAGTGAGTCCTGGTTCAGTCCTGGTTCAGTCCTGGTTTAGTCTTAGCGTAGGCAGCGCAAAAGCTTGATATAATCACGGGTTAATGGGCGGTTGCGGTGTTTTACTGCAGGTCTCCAAAAATGTCCCGTGCAGGACTCTGCGCTGTAGGGCTCTATTACAGAATAAATGAATCTTGGGTTCATTACATAAAGAAGGAGGAAAATAACAAAAGGACAACAGCAGCAATAAGTTTTAAGAAGGATGCAAAAAGGGTTGTAAGTGTCCTGTGTGAGAAAAGTGTATAAAGTGTGTGCGAGGGGTTTTACAGCCTTAAAACTGATAGAATAATTGTAAAATATAAAGTTGACAACTTCGTGGATTTCACCTATCGCAGGTTATTTTTTAGAACATAACCCCCTCGATAAACGAGGGACACTGTACTCTCACCTCCCAACCTGTGCACATGGCCTCCCACTTGTCCCGACCGGGGTGGAAAATGGAGAATTTCTTGTACAAGTCATTGTTAAATGCACATTTACTCTTCGGTATGTTGTAGACCTGACCGACTGTTTGTGTTTGCTCGCTTCTTCTGAGTCACAGAGCTACGAGAGACGCTCAGTTTAATGCCCCCAATGAACGGTACTGAAAACCCGGACATTTCCATCACTTAAAAAAAAAACCCGGACGCACAGGACAAGATGCAAAATATGGACAAGTCCGGGGAAAAACGGATGTTTTGTCACCCTAATATAATGAATAATAATAAAGTATAAAAATATATATATAAAAGTAAAAGTATTGCGTGAAAAATCTACTCAATTAAAAGTATTAAATGTAAAAATGTACTAAACAAAGATTCAGCAGGTCTCAAACTATATAGATAAATCCCTGCTCTCAAATATAGTGGTGTAAAAGCAGTGGAGTAACAGATTACATGTACTGGAGTTACAAAGAGTACAAATTATGAGTAACTGTATTCAGTTACAGTTACTGTTTCAATGAGTGGTAATTGGATTACAGTTACTTTGTTAAAATAAATGGATTACACGACTTTATTTTCCTGTTTTCACATTTTGGGCTATAGTCTAAACGAGGTCTAAACTAGGTCTAAAACCAGGTCTAAAACCAGGTCTAAACCAGGTCTAAACCAGGACTAAACCAGATCTAAACCAGGACTAAACCAGATCTAAACCAGGACTAAACCAGGTCTAAACCAGGACTAAACCAGGTCTAAAACAGGATTTAACAGGAGTAAATCCTGCTGTGTGGACGTGTCTCCTCGTCTTCTATCAATAATATTTTTAATTTGGTTGAGTAAAGTCTGGGCTTTTTATTTTCTTTTAGCAGACAAAACATCTTACGTTGAGATTTTCTAGTCTTTGCTTCTCTACAGCAAATCAAGTAATCCAAAGTATTCAGATTACATTACTCACTTTAAGTAATTTAATGGATTCTGTTACAAACTACATTTTGGAGTATGTAATCTGTAATCTGTAGGGGAATACATTTTAAAAGTCACCTTCCCAACACTGTGTAAAAGTAAAAGTATTCCATTTAAAATCTACTTTTACTTAATTACAGTACTACTACTTTTACTTTGCTTCCTCCCTTCACTGAAGTCGTGTCATCACTGCTACATTATTCACCTCTCTACAAATCGGAGCTGTAACTTGTTCCCCGGTGCATCGTGAAAGTCGTGTCCACATTTGAGTATCAAACGAAGTGAACTGACTGAGGGCACAGTGCCACCGCTGACCAGGAGAGGGTAGTACGTCCTGTAGGGAGCAGTGTGTCAGCGCGTTGGCTGGAAACAAGAAGAAGTGACAGCAGCGTTTTATGAATGTTTTATGAAATCTCAAGTTTGCCGTAGCGAGTTTGACTGGCTATAAAAAAGGACACTGATTCAACAGACAGGCAACTAACAATCTGACAGGTTAGAGCCTTATGATAAATGTTTTTTTGTTGTTGTTTCTTATTTCTCACATGAGTAAATTCACGTTTCATTTGTGTGCTGTGTGGGCTGGAAAAGTACTGCACTGAGACATGATTTGAGATGGACCAGATGTGCGCTTGTTTGCTTTGAATCTGGTTTAGTTTGGTGTTCACATGTCCACAAACAAAGCCTGTACTGTGCTTTACAACTATTTGCTTTTGCTGATTTTGAGAAACCAATTCCCTTGTGTATAGGGGTAAAGGAGCAGCCGTTTATCATTTAGTGTCTGAGTGAATCAAGTATACGCAAAGTGAAATAAATACAGCAGCAAGAGAGAATCACAAATATTTTAAATTATGAACAATTTGATAAGTCATTTGGCTGCAACTTGTGCAAGAGACAGCTCAATTTTTTCTCATTCTTCTTTCTAAAACAGAGTAGGATCTTCGGCGGGATTAGTTGATAGAGCAATCTGACATGCTTACAGACAATTCTCTCAGGTTGGAAACACAAAACTTTAAATTGGAAAAACAGAACTCAAAACGGTATTGTTACTCCCACTCGCAATTTGGATTATAATTTTGAGTCTTTTGTCAGATGGTTTGAATTTCTCTTTTGTGTAGCTCGGGGTGCAAAAGGTTTAAATAAAACTGAGATGAGATGCTGAATAATTTGCTTTTTTAGCAATAAGAAAAACACAACAGCCTCAGAACTCATTATTAAAGGCAAAATGTCACACTGATCTCAACATTAACTTGAAATATTCTCCTATTCAAAGGCTCTGTTGGCATATTTGTTTTGTTGGTCTAATTTGTTTTTCATGTCAAAGAAACACACTTTTCACCACTGCTGCTCATTTCTTGGTTCGAACACAGCTTTTGGACTTTTCTCTGTTATTAGGCAATCAAGTAAATATTTTCAAGGTTTCTGAAAATTGTTGATCATCTTGTTGTACAGACAGTTGACTACAGAGCGCACAGACTTGTCAGGAGAGATGTCTCCCACTCTGTGGTACCTGTGGTGAGAAACATTTTAATTGGCAGAATTTGATTATTTCCATGACTAAGACAAACCATTTAGCTGTGTATTTTTTCAGATGGACCTGTCACAATAAATACTATATCAGCTTATCGTTCAATACATGGCAGATGGTCATTTTTGGGGGTCAATATTTATATTGTACATTTAGAATACTTTTTGAGGGTTAATTGTAGCCTGATTCATCAGCCGGTTTCACTTTGTGGAAACCGTTTGCCTCGCGACATTAGAAGTTGTTCACTCCACATAGGCAGGTACTTTTTTTATAGTTTAACCAATCGCTGCTATTTGGTCATGACAGTTGTAGCTTGGTCGTATGTAATGCGCCACTAACTAGTATATTAAGCTTTTCCCAAATCCCGTAGGAAGAAGGGCAATAACGTCTTTCCCCTTGATAAAATTCACCAAACATTCTCTTTGTTTCGGCTTTAAATCCTTGATTGTTGCCAGCACAGAATGTATGGCTCTTCCACTGATTGGCTGGTGTCCGGACTCTCATTTCCAGAGTTCTTCCCAACCGTCTGTTCCGATTCCTGACCTAGTTGCTGGGGTGAAATGAAATTGAGCGGAGGCACTAGGTGGCGCCACCCTGGTTAAGTTAATTCTGCTTTATGGTTTGGTTTCAGTCGTACACTGTATGAAGGTGTGGGCTAAACAAGTGTGACGTCACCTGTAGCGTTCGGCTCTAGTCAAATGAAGCTTGCATTGCTAGCTGTTGTAGGGGTGAATTTGGATCCAAGCACCATTGACAAAATAGCAAAATAAAAACACCAGGATTATGTAGAGTGGACACGAACATTTGAAGACCAAAATAACAAGGCTCACAGCAGCAGTCCCAGAGAGAGGGGCCACGGTTTTCCATTGTAAGTCAATGAGAGCCAGGGTCAGTAGGAGCCGGAAGTGTTCACATGCAAACTTCCTATTTGAAATGTTGTGGCTCGCGTTGATTATGTCCATTTATATATACAATCTATGGTTACAGTATTATTGTTTATTATCAATATATTACTTGGCAGCAATATATTGTACTTCAAAATGTGTTACCGCGACAGGTCTATTATCAGGTTGTGTGCTCTCATCGTTTCTCTCAGTTTTTATTAACAAAATTTGTTCTTTTTTCTTTTCAGGATATTTGACCGTTACCATAGAACCGCTCCCTCCTGTAGTCGTCGGCGAAACTGTCACCCTCAAATGCAACTTCAAAACGGACGGCAGGCTTCGGGAGATTGTTTGGTACAGGGTGAGTAATTCCTATGCCATTTTCAGTGCCATTAACCACAGACGACTCTGTGGGACTAGCCCTGTATCTCTTCTTAACTACATACTGTCCCGGGCCAATAGAAACATCACTCCTTTATAGCTCGGTTAGACAAATAATCACGCATTGTCAACCGTCGATTGTTAGGGAACAGCCCGTTATTGGGAGCAGCTGTATGGCATGCATCATTGGGTGTCTGCATGTTGGAGATTTTATTTCTCAATCCATTGGTCATCGCCATCATTTCTTAATGGTTAACAGCTGGCGACTCAATAGTGATTAAATTCCCAGTTGGTGTAGTACACTGCTCAAGTACCACCAGCAATTAAATGGCTGTTGAAGAACAATAAAATCTGGTGTTGGATCAAAACTCATCCCGAGTTCATTGGGGGCATAAATTTGGGGATTGTGGGGGATAATCTTCTTAAAGTCGAGGCACAATCAGATATGCAATGGATTAGGAAGAACTCTGAAGTGACAGTGACAATTCTGTTTGTGAAGGGGAGCTGAAGCGAGGCTCAGAACGACTATGACTAAAACCATTACCCCTAATGTACTTCTATATGGTTGAGGCACACACAAGACTAGAGTTTCTGATGCAGGGCTGTCACAGAGTGTTCACAAAGGTCTTTAGCAGTGGTGGAATGTAACAGAGTGCAAGTAGTAAAGTGCATTACTTAAAGGTTGTATAGAGGATTTTCCAAGGAACGAGAAATCCAGCGACTGTTTGTCCTTTTTCAAATGTTGCGCATGCGTGAAACCACCCCCCTCCCCTACAGCTCCTACGTAGAAACGCCTCCTCCCTCCTCCACCTTACGCCAGAAAGTACTCATCGCTGCACATGACTTGTAAACAACTAACTACAGTGTTGGTTAGGCAAGGTGGAGAAGTGAGGAGCGGGGGGAGGGGGTGCGCGGAGATTCCGTGCGCAAAAAAGAAGTGAGGAGCAGCGAGAAGAGCGAAACGGGGAGTGGGGAGAGGAGCAGTAAGCGGTGCAGAGAGGGGTCCGCGGAGATTCAGTGCGAATGAAGCTACTACTACAACACGCAGCAGCAAGCGGACTCTTTCTTTGCATTGAAAATTACGTTTTCAGACACAGGATATTGCATTCGTGTCTTGAGAAACGTTTGTCTCGCTCTTGGAAATAAAGTACGTTTTCATAATAAGAAGAAATTTCCTGTCCAGGAGTAATTTGTGGACCAGTGCGTCAGTCTTTAGACCCTGCGTCTGCTTCAGTCGCGCCATCGCTGGAATGAATCTACAAGAATCACCTTAGTTTGGCTTCGCTGCTTTTCCCCTTGTCTTCTTCTTTCAGCGACCTCAAAAACAGACTTTCTTTTGCAGCGAACTGCTCCTGGATTCTTTTCTGCCATTGCAACAAACTGTGCGAACTGTGAGGAAGACATAGGTCAAAAAAGCCGCTAAGAACTGTTGCGTCTGTGGACTGCGTGACAGTCGTATGTAAACCACATAATGGCAGCGTGCAGGCAAGTCAGTTACACTAGAAACGTAGGGAGATTGATTGACAGCCTGTCAGCGAACAGATAACGAGGCAGTGTTGTTATCTATTGGCAAATTGTTTAAAAATGTTTAGCCCCACCACGTCCAGTTGATGAATTTTTATTCTCTTTTTTTTGGTCATCATAATTACAAGGCTACTGCATCTCTATAATCTATCATTGACAATTTAAAACAAAAAAAATCCTCCATACAACCTTTAAAGGCGCATTATGTAACTTTTCTGGTGGAAGGTCCATCAAGTGCTTCTTTGCTGCTCTGTGGAGATGTCATTGCTCTGCCCGACATGTTCCACATTATGACATTATACAGCTCATTCTTTACAGTTATTAAATTATAGGAGGTTTAGCTCAAAAATACCTAGAAAAACAGGATTTCTGACTGTAAGCCTCTCCACAGACCTGACCTGTAACTTGGTCTGGTTGGATTACGTTACAAACTACATTTTGGGGTGTGTAATCTGTAATCTGTAGGGGATTACATTTTAAAAGTCACCTTCCCAACACTGTTCATAGATGCACAAACAAAAATATACAAAGAAAAACAGCAAGATAGATTCAGCTGTTTCTGCTGAACAGAATTCAGCACAAATCTTTATCGTCTGTATTTTGATCCTTACAGCACGAAATAGCAGTTACTTTAATACTTTTACTTAGGAAGATTTTTTCATCTGACACTTTTACTTTTGTTTGAGCATTTTATTTTCAATTTTACTTTTGCTTAAATAGCAAAATTAAGAACTTCTTCCACCACTGGCCTTTAGACAGTGTACTGAGGCCACGAGAATCAGCAGCAGCACTTAAAGGGCATGACTCCACTTACAGAGATTTAGATGATGAATGTAATATCTGCATGAAGATCATTCTCCTGGGATTGATACAGAAGTGAGATTCATGGAAAAGCCTGTATGATAATGGCTGATGATAATAGGATTTCATTGGCAAAACAAACCTGATTCATAGACAGGCCTGTCACAATAACACATTTTGTAGTACAACTATATACTGCTGAAACTAAACTACAGCTACTGACTACTACTACTGACTACTACTACTGCTACTACACTACTACTACTACTACTACTACTACTACTACTACTACTACTACTACTACTACTACTACTACTACTACTACTACTACTACTACTACTACTACTACTACTACTACTACTACTACTACTACTACTACTACTACTACTACTACTACTACTACTACTACTACTACTACTACTACTACTACTACTACTACAACTACTACTACTACTACTACTACTACTACTACTACTACTACTACTACTACACTACTACTACTACTACTACTACTACTACTACTACTACTACTACTACTACTACTACTACTACTACTACTACTACTACTACTACTACTACTACTACTACTACTACTACTACTACTACTACTACTACTACTACAACTACTACTACTACTACTACTACTACTACTACAACTACTACTACTACTACTACTACTACTACTACTACTACACTACTACTACTACTACAATAACTACTACAACAACTACTACAACAACAACAACAACAACAGAATGTCATACAAGTTTTTAATTCAGCCCTCTACAGCTCTAATCTTACCATATAGCTCCTAAATATCTAAACATTTCCCAGTTGTGCTAAGAAAATGTACAGTGAGAAATACTGACCCCCCCAAAAATATTTCTCTAGCTTTCATATATTGAACAATAAGTTGATATACTAATAGTAATTATTATAACATTTGTAGAGCTTATTCAATTAATTACCGTGCTGCTTGTTTTCTATACAAATTAGGTCAGGTGCCATTTCTGGTGCCAAACAGTGGAATAAGTGTCAAATATTTAATCAAATATTTGCAAAAGGGTTCGTGACGTGATGCCCATTTTTTGGTGTAATCCTTTTAAATTACTTTCTAAATCATTTTCTTCATCCTCCAAAATTTAACTCAAATGAGCACAAATATAAATTACAAATATAAATTGCATATTGTTTTAGTTATTTCAGTTTTTGGAATTTCAACAAATACAAACATACAAACAAAGAAAAACAACAAAACACTCAAATGTCTTGCAATATGACTAACACTTTTCTTTAAAAAATCCTAGATTCAGTCACTTGTGTCAGAGACAGTTCATAAAGGTATTGGCGTAAAGGGAAGCAAGTATATATTATTTAATAACATTACACCTTTATTGCTGCTTTCAATCCAATCCACTTTATAGCACATTTTATGAACATGACAGTTTCCAAAGTGCTGCACAGACAAATTAATACAATTAAAGACAAAAAAAAAGTAAATCATATTTAAAAACAATAATTAAAAAGTGTTAAAATCCATAAAGCTAAAAAATGATAAAATAAATAAAAGACATAGGACCACACAACTCACATGGTGTTAAAAGTCAGAAAGTAAAAGTGGGTCTTAAGACGAGACTTAAAACACTCCACTGTGGGGGCTGTTCACACGTGGAGGTGCAGAGCGTTCCAGAGCTTAGGGCCGACCACAGAGAATGCCCTGTCCCCCCTGTTTTTAAGTCTCGTTTTAGGCACCATGAGCTGGAGCTGGCCCTCGGACCTCAGCGAGCGCGCGGGGGAGCAAATCTGGATGAGGTCCAAGACATAATGTGGGGCCAGTCCATTCAAAGCTTTAAAAACAAACAACACAATCTTAAAATCCATTCTAAATTGAACAGGAAGCCAGTGCAAAGACACAAGGATCGCTGTGATATGTTCTTGTTTTTTGGTTCCTGTTTAAAGTCGTGCCACGGAATTCTGGACTAACTCCAGATGGGAAAGTGCGTTTTGAGAGATGCCGTGTAAAGTGTGTTGCTTTAAATGTAAAAAAAAAAAGCTATAAGCAGGTTATTGCTGTGATCCAGAGGGTGTACTCCAGTGTGACAGCAGTATTTCCTAAGAAAAGCACAATTCTAATCGGACAGTTACTTTTTTTAAATTATTAAATCAATAATACAGACATGTTAAGTAACTCATTCCAATTTTTTTAACATGGCAAATTATAGTATAGTGAATATCCAGCCGGGTGACAGGAGAGCTCACACACAGGGCATGTTGAATGTCTAAAATCAGAAGAGTTACACAAAACAATGATGTGATGTTTGTAGGAAGGCTTCTTTATTGTTATTAAACTGATTAGTTTTTGAAAATATGTGTTGTATTTTCCTACAAATCCGTGTCAAATCGCAGGACAGAAAAAAAGGCTTTACACCTCCAAACGTCAAGTACCCAAAAACACTATTAGGCCTGTTGCAGTGTTGCTTTTAACTATTCTCTACAATCAGCAGACACATATTACATTTCTAGCAGTGTTCTTGTTGTTGCTGTAGTGGAATAGAGCTTCCTCCCACGCAGTCTTTAATGAGTTTCACAGAGTTTCACAGCTTCTCACACCTCCCATGTTCTATCATATTGTCTCATCGTAGCTAATGCTGACCT